TTATTAAATTAGTAATTTTTTAATATTCTTACTTTTCTTTTTTAATTCATTTAAAAAGCTTTACAAATATCTGCTCCTATCTCTTTTCTTCCTATGAAACTTGATAAATATTGTTTTAATTTTTTGATTTTTAGGGAATTTACCGGATCGCAATTTATTCTGCGAAATTACACAGATATAAGATGGGATAAACGTATTACAGTTCCAGCTGATGATTTACGACATGATCGAAGCATTGATCAAGCCTACAATGTTAATTTAACTTTATCTCTTAATTAAATCCCATTCAAAAAGATTGCTGAAATCAATTAGGCTTGAACAAGAAGTGATTTGTAAATTAGTCTTCCTGTTAGGGATGGCGCCCATAAACCTTTCTGTATTCGCTATTATCGTAGCCTATCAAATTCTGTAACTCTTTGCTCTTTTCACTTAAATTATTCTTTACAGTAACTCGGATTGCTTTTGTATGGAAAGTATTACTTGCATTTTTGTTTTAGATCCTTTCATCTTCACTGAACAACAAAATATTCACGTTCCTTTTAACTTTACAGATAATCACTCGCTCATCCACTTTTCCATTGCAAGCGTGGAATTGGAAATTAAAATTAACTAGTCAGCTTGTGCCAAATTCATGCGAGGAATTAAGGATGTTTTTGGTCTCAGACGATATCGATCAGCCACGCTCTATCGAATATCTCATACAGATTGTCGATGAACGAAAAGTGATCCGATCATTCCCATCAAAGAAAAATTTCACCAAAACAAGGTTGAAATATTCGAAGATTTTTAGTATCATTACTGTTTCTAACATTAAATTTCCGTATCTGCCTTAAACATCCTAAAAATATTAACTAGATAAAAAATATTAATCATATCACATTGTATTTTCTAATAATTTTCCTTGTGTAACTTTTTCTGCCACTTCGTTGAACAGACATTTGCATTTGTTGGTAAGGACGGAATTTAAGAAGCAGCAAATGCTATCTTATTAAAATATTTTTAATATCCATTTATCTTATTTTTTAGTATGATCTTTCTTTGTATGTTATGACCGATCAGTTCAATAGCATTTTAATTCCTGTTCAAGGAGAACTTGGACTTCCAGCTTAGCGAATTTCATATATTTCAAAGATCTAAATTATTTTAAGTATCAAAAATGGAATATTAGGCTAAACTATTTCCATCAAATTTTTTAGTGCCACTTCCATATTCTTCTCTTTTTTTCATGCAATTCATTTCAGATACAGTGCTGATATTGAAATTGAAAAGAAGATAGATCTCAGTGAACTTTATACCGACAACTCTCCACTGCTTGTGAATGGAGAACTTCATTTACAGATAACATTGAGACCTATTGATTAATTTTTCTTAAAATTATCAGGCAACTTTTTTGGAAATGAGTTAAGCATGGAAAAGGAAATAGTTTTCATGTTACAAGAACAAAATAGTTCTTTTATGAAACCTCAACTACCGTCTTATCTTAAAATTTTGGAATGTTGTAAATTTTTTTGTTTTTTCATATTTGTCAATTTTTGTGCTTTTATAATGAATTAAAATAACATTTGCATACAGTTCATTTCCGCTTTCAGTTATTGAATTGATATTTATTGATTGAAAATCAATTATTAATATCCGGAGGTCAAAGGTCACTTAATTCCTTATCTCTGAATAAATTGACGAAAATCTCAGTTCGTTAACTTTGGTAAATTCTATGCACAAGTCGGTAGTGGTAATGATTTTCATTAGACGAAGAACGATATGCTTTTAAAATTTCAGCGGTAATATGCATCATATCAGAAACTGGACATATTATGTTTTGCTTACACACCTTTATAAGAGTAAACTTTCGATTTAAAAAAAAAGTCAATTTTTATGCGTTTTGAATGAAATGAAATAATTTCGCTTGGCAAATTTGACAATATCAGATTTCTGATATGAGAAAATCTACCATTCATGCCAAAACAAAATGCATGAAATGCGAAAAACTGAACAGCATTTGGACTTTCGTAATCAATTAAATTTATACACCATTCGTCCAAGTTAAAAATATTTGATTTTACAACATTATCAGTGTTCGCTTTGTTAAAAACAAGATTTATTTATTAAATATGATTAAAACAATGAAATCTCATTGAGAGAAGCTTAAAATTGACGTCGAACTCGATGAATTTTCACTGATAATTGCCCACTTGGATCGTTTATCCCACATAAAATACAACCGATTTGATGAAATGCTCTTTTTTTTTGCAAATTTCTTGTAGAACTTCCTTCATAGAGCCATGCGCTTCTGTAATTTTCTGTTCAAAAAATGCATTTAATGAGTTCTCTAATATGATATGCACTCTTGTAATTAATTATCGCGACGCAAACAGTTCCAAATTTGATTGATTCTCTAAAGTGCGAAATGAATGTTTTTAAAATTGTCAAGTTCTAATGCTGAATTCTTTTTTCTACCTTTTCTCGTCTGCAAACTTCCATACGAAAAGAGCATTTCGATCAATCGGGATTATTTGATCATCTTGATTTACGGCTAGTATTTTTGATGCTCCTTGAGATGTCTTTTGAGCATTGAGAGTAAAATTTGGATAGTGCACTTTCATTTGATAAACGGCTTGTTGCATATTCTTCTCAGGAATTGCATAGAATGCATAAGCACCAGTCGGATCCATCTATGAGTCATTAATAAAGGAACAAATTTAAAATTAAAATCAAAATCAAAATAAATTTTGCATTAAACTAATTTCTTAGGATGAACTATAGCAATTCATTAATAGCTCATCTCAACAGTTATTTTAAAAGTTTCGGAATCACATTTCTTTCTTGAAAAAATTATACTTTATAGGAATAAATTTTCTTACAATCAACTGCGAAAATTTCACGTGAATCTGTTCGGAACGAATTTTTGTAATACGTATACCGTTGTCAATATTTTTTATTTGTAACACGTCATGTCCCTAAATAATATAAATACTCGGAAGCTTAGAAATTGCCTTTGTTTTAATATTTTATTCAATATTTAATAGGGGAATTGTCATAGTCGCTAATTTCTTCATCGTTTAAGAAAATGCAATATTTGGGAAGAATAATTCTCTTTAAACGATGACTCATTGTTATTTTACTTACTGTAAAAGATGATTCATTGTTGTTTTGATTAATAAAGTGTAATAAGCCTCGGCCCATATCCACAGCTGTCAAAAAGATATGAGTGTTTTCTGATACATGACTGTTAATTTCATCGCGATAGAAATAACGAAATTGAGTTGGTTGATTTCGTACTGATTCGGCCACAATGACTGCTAATTCTGTTTAGTAAAAAAGCATGTTACGAAATTAACATTTGAAAAAAAATTTTGTTGAATTCTTTTTGAAAATTTTTGACAAATGCATGCATAAGTATTTGAATTTTCTGGCAGTTAAATAAATTTTAATGTATAAGTTGAATTTTTTAAATGATTCGAATTTGTATTTTATATTGGCATTTGGTATTTTTTCAAGTGTGCAGAGATATATGTCATTTTGAATTTTGACAAAATTTAGTCACAAATGATTGACTTGAATCCATTTAGTTTACATATACGATCAGAAGTATCATATTGTTGATTCAATGAAGCAAAAATTTTGTTCAAATTTGAAGTGCAATGTTAACAAAGATAGTAAAAAATATTCTCAAACTTTTTCCAATAAATTCTGAAATAGTTAGATCTTAAATTCAGGAGAAAAAAATTAATTAATCGAATTTTTTTTAAAAGATCTTACGATTTGTTATATTGTCGAAATTAACGATGATAGTAATATTGAGATTGAAACCAATCAAAACTGGATACATATTATTGAATGAACATTGGATATTCTGGATTTGTAGTGCTTTTATCACTGTTGATTCATGCATTACCGCTTTACTTCAAAACACTCGGAATCGATCAGTGAAACAAATTATAAGAAGATAAGATAATGAATGATAGTGATGAGATGACCTTCAAAATAAGAGCATAACAGTCAAATTACTCATTCAGGAAGGTGTATGAGTGGACAAGTTGAGACATTAACAAATTTTGTTTACTACCTTTTTCTATGATGATATAAATCATGCAGGCTTTTCACAACAGCAATCATATCCTCAGCTCGAAAATCAGAACCAATTTTCATCATTGTCGAAATACACGAATTTGTATAACCTATTCCCATGTAATATTCATAATCTTCGTGATTCAAATATTCCAACAGCAATGAAATGTCACATCGTGGAGGTGTTCCCTAAAGAAGATCCGGAAATTAAAAGAGAAAGTGCATTATTTCGGTTCCTTATACGGATCAGATTATTCAATGACTGTAAAATTTTTGAAACCCTAAAAAAAATCTGAAGGAGATGCAGATCTCATTTTTTTATCTTCAGAATATTTTTTCTGAAGAATAAATTAGCATGCTGTAAAATGATTTGAAAAAAAACCTCAAGCAAACATAAAGTAACAAACAAAAGCATTTGATGGACAACATAACCGTTAGCCATTGTGATAGATTAACAAAATATGTCAAAAAGAGGATTAAATTTCATTTATATTGAAAAAGAAAACTATGCAAAATATGCTATATTACATTCGATACATTGTTTTCATTTCACTTCAAATTTTTTGTTATTCTTTAAACTTCGTCGAATTTCCTTTCCCATAAATTACTTTGCTGCTAAAGTTTATTTATTATATCATCAAATGCTTCTTGTCTAATTCTTCGTTTCTCATTCATTTTTCTGATAATACAAGATTTATTAATATAACTTCCAATTTCAATTAAACCCTCCAATAGCAAGAGAAATAATAGTTTGCCATGTTCATCGATGAAAGTTAATGTGAAAGTGCTGTCATTTGTTTGAACTGAGATCATTTCAGTGAAATAAACGTGGAGTAACAAATTTGTTGGCGCAGTTTTATCACGTATTCATAGCTCATAACAGATATATTTTTCTCGTTAATTCAACAAAAGCTGCAGGATGGAAATTTCCGTTGACTGTTGACTGAATGAATAATCATAACTAAGGTAAAGAAATAAAAATCTTGAAATGCATCAAAAAGCATCTGCTATAATGTTGGAGAGATTATGCTTAATGTTGGTGCTGTAAAAATCACTCCGAAAACGAGTAGATATATGAGCAGAAAAAAAGTTGCCTGTTTCCTTCCCTCCGTGATTTTACGTTTCCTTTCCAAATCTTTGTGTTCATTTGAAAAATGCCAAGCGAAATTTTGCTTTTTAAAATACAATAATGGGACAAAGATGGGAAGTGGAAGACGATCATGGTGACTCAATAGTGCTCACAAAATAGCGGTATTCCATATTTTCTAAAAATTTTCTGCTTTACTAGTTACTTCTATCCTCCAAATTATTTCGGAAAAACTGTTCGTGCATTTTCTCCGTTGTATTGCATTAAATATCACCATATTCATATCACCGAAACTGTATTCCGGATAATATGTATATGATAATTTCACTTGCTGTCATTGTTTTTATTTGTTATTAATTCAAAACACTGTTAGGGAACTCATTTGTATTAAATGAAAGAGTTCGCAAAGAATGTCTTAAAAACTGAACATCCAATAAACCATTCAGCACAGATTAATTTGACAATTTAAATTGTAGCACTGACAAAGTTCCGATTTTTACAAGCCTCAAATTTAAAAGATACTTTTATTATTTGACCCAAATCCCCTTCTATCAGCCTTACTTTCTAAAAATTTATTTTATGCCAACATTGCACGGATATTAATGATTTGTTTGCTATTATAAGATTTGAATCACATAAGATTATCTCTCATCTTCGTGAAACCCTTCCGTAAACTTTCGAAAGTGTTCGGAATCTCCGGGCAAAGCTGTTCCAATTTGGATGTATCCAAAGTGCAATTTCCTTTTGTCGCATACAGTTCACGATATCTGTCATCTTTTGCTTCTAATATCTCGTAATGATGCAAATCCGGACAAACAATCTAAAACCATTTGTTAAGCGAGAAAATCATTTATGGATTCTTCTGTAAAGTTGTACGTGATGTTAGATCAACCTCCTTATAAAGTTCCAATATTTGAGAAAAACTGATCGGTTGAGGATTGACTAAATTTAAATTGCCACCAACACGTCTTTCCATGAGATCAATAAGTGCAGGTATACAGTCATCCAATACTGTTATCGATACTGGAATGTCGAAAATTTGCCTTAAAAATTAATAAATTTTTTAAAACAAAATTAACTTCAAGTTTAAGTAATTAACAATAATTTTAACATAATTAGCGGAATTTTCCCAATAATTCTCGTGAAACTTGCAAATACAAAAGTAAAAGGCAAAAAAAGGCAAACTTTAAATGTTCAAACAAAAATTTTACTTATATTCTAAAATTTTGGTCAGCAGATTTCTCTCCTCATCTAAGCGAAAATTCAGTGGTAACGTTATTCTAGCATTTAAGCATTCTTTGATTCCACCTTCATATTGTTGTATCATACGGTCAGTGACACCTTTCACAATTGAGTACGCATTTCCGAAAAATGTTGGGAAATCTAAAACTAGTCGTCAGATAAAACTAAATCATAGACCTGCATCCCCCACATAGCAAGTCCTGAAAATATTTCCAATCAGTAACGCAAATTATGCCATATATGAATATATATGAAAGATCTATTCAGTAACTTACTTTTACCTGTCTCTTTAACAAACATAATGTCCGTTACTCCTACTTTATAGTAGCATAATAGGCTGCAACTAAAATTGATTTAATTAATATACCATCGTCAGCGAAGCCTTTGCCGCCTATCGGATGCTCCTGATCATATGCAAATAAATATCCAGTTCCGACATAAGTAAAATGTAGACCCAATGTTTGACATATCTTTGCTAAAGCTATCGTTGAGTATAAATTATCCCGTATGTTCTCGAAAGTCTGACATAGTCCTCCTAAAACTGTTTGACACTGTACAGTTTGAATATTTGAATTTTGATTTGAATTTGAGAAATGAGTAAATTTATAATAAATGTTTTGATGTGAAAAAAAGAAATAATTTCAATAATACTAATATTTCATTGAATTTGATACAGATCATTTGAACCTTCCAGATATTCCACTGTTTTGAATTTACCGCCGTGCGTTCTACCTGTACAACAGAGGACATGTGTGCAATAGATGCTACTTAACTCATCCAAAACCTATAATGAATTGATTGCATTAAATCTCAACTACTCTCAAACTACATTCTATTTTCTTCTTATTTATTGTAAAAAAAAACCAGTTCCAGCCGCGTTTTTTAATATCAGAAAATCGCAAGCACTATTTACCTCCTTATCGCTATTTTTTCCAATTCGACAATTGGCTAAAGTAAAATGAATCTTCCGCTCAAGCAACTTCTTACAGCACTGCTGTCCAATCCAACCTTTACCACCGTAAACGACAACGACCATTTTCTGCTTCTTTTTTACTGGATTTAACGTTGATGCGACAACTCGCCTAATACCTGGAAATGACTATCTTTTCATTTCAAATTCAAATAATATAAAGACTGAGCAACTCAAAGAATAACCTCCCTCATGAGAGAAGGAAGAATAACATCAGAAAATTTATAGCATATGCACGAATGTTTCTCAATTTTTTAAAAAAAGACCCATCTTTTAAAACAAGACTCATATCCAGAATACCGTTTCACTGAAAACGCATTTTCACGTTACATACTCGGCAATGTCCAGAAACGCATTTCAGAATACACAGAGTCACTTATATATCAAAAAATGCTTGAAAGTTGCAATCGTATAACTGATAAAATGAATCAAAAGAAATATAAAATTCTTGCGTTTTTTCACTAGAAAAATTAAGAGAAGAGCAAGATCCTTAAAAAATGCTTTATAAAATAATACGCCGCAAAAAAACTACCTTCTTCAAATGTTACTTTTGGTGACCAACCAGTGTGGAGATTAATCTTACTGTAATCAAGGAAATAGCGTAAATCATTATATGGCCGATCTAGTATTTCAATGAATTCCACAGGAGTTGGATCTCGCCCAAGTTGTCGGTCTACTTCTGCTTGTATAACATGTGCAAGATCGATTACTGAAAAAAAACCAAACGATAGCGAACTTACACATCAGATTATCGTGCTGCTCAATCAGAAACTGATTAAAAAAGATATAAGCTACCATTCATTTCAAAACAAGTTCCAATGTTGTAAATTTCATGAACTGTTCCATTTTCAACAGCTTTTCGAATGCCTTCAGCAGCATCGTCAACATATAGCCATGAACGTAATTGTTTGCCACTACCTTGCACAGTAAATTTTTCCATATTTTTGGCTAATTTAATAAAGCGAGGAACTACCTAAAATTACTTACAATCATTCGTTTTCAATAATATAAATAAATATCTAAGATTAATTCATTTTTCGTTACAATTTATTTGATATTTTCAAAATTTTCTATTTAAGATAGTTAATATCCAGTAATCTAGAAATTAATTCGCTTATTGTTATTGCATGTTGTTGTAGAAAACCTTGACATCCCATTGATTAGGTCCGTATATATTGTTGATGCGTAATATAATAATTGGCATTGCAAACAATTCGCAGCAAATATGAACGTATGATTCGCAGGCTGCCTGAAAACAAATCCAAAGTTCTAGTTTGTATTATTCCGGAAATAAATTTCCCATCAACATCTTAGCCTCATTACCTTTGTAGCTGCATAAGGATTTCCGGGTAAAAGAAGCGCATCCTCTTTTTTGCCTTTTTCATCTGCTACCAAGTTAGAATCGCCGTATACCTGCAAAAAATGAGCATTATGCAAGAAATAAATAGCTGACAATAATGTCTGGCTGAATTTATACTTTTTTTTTCAAGAATTTAAAACACAGTACAAGTTTCATTAAAATCTAATTCCTCAAAAATTGAATTAGTAATAGATACAATGATTCGATATCAAAAAAAAAAAAGTTTTGCAAAGTAATTTAATTTGTTTTTAAATAACTATGACTATTTGAATTTCTATAACTTTTTAGATGCAAAAGCACCAAAGAGCAGCATATATTTTATTATAAAAGAAACTAAAATCAGAAACTGAGAAAAGTTGTAGAAAATGAACCTCGTCAGTACTAATGTGTATAAATCTTTCGACTTTATTATAGGATCTAATACTCTCCATAAATCGGATAAATACAATCACATTATTTTCAATCGATTCCACTGGATCGTCGTAACATCGTGTTGAAGTGCAATCCGCAGCAAAGTGTATTACCGTATCAATCTATAGCAAAAATTTAGTAAATTAGTGGTTATCAGACCTACTAGAGTTCTTTATAAGGAATCCTCTGGCCTTTGATTGTTTGGAAATTCTGCGCATGAATTTTAGACAAACATATAAGCAAGCCATTGACAGCTTCTGCTTCTGCTTATCAAACCTTCTCTCAGTTTCTAAATATGTGAAGCATCGGAATGTGTCAAAGACCCATGACCTTGCCATCTTACCACTTCAGTTATTCTCGTTCCAGTAGCTCATTCATTACTTTATCTTCACGGTTTAGTAGATATTATTAAAACCTACTTGATATCAAAAAAATTTCTGATTGACTTGAACAGAAACTAATCCGCAATTAATTATCTTTCAACTATATCGTATGCGTACTAATTACTAAGAAGATAATACAAGTTTGCAAATGCAAATGCATATTAACTTTCATATTCACTTAAACGACAACAATACTTCATGATTGAAGTTTTTTTTTTTTCTTTGGGGAAAAACTCAAACTACGATCATATAACTTGGCAGATATTGGTTCTAGAATTTTTTCTTTATTCAATTTCATACAAATTTCTGACTTCTTGGCATCAACTCTCCATCGATGTACGAAATTTATAGAAGCACTGATGAATCATTCAGTAGTACAAAAAAAAAATCCACCTGGTTGGAACAAGGAAGATGACTAATGCTTGGTATGATTACTTAACTAAATTGAAAGAGATAGAAGAATGAGCTATCATTTTATTATCTCTATAATGTATGAGTAGGAACTATGAAGCATGCAATGCAGGATAACATGCATGCAGCACAACATGCACTTATAGATGATCAATGAACTCTACCGATGAAGTAATCGACTCAAATGTCGTTAAATGAAAAATATTTCCATGTAATGTGCATGGTCCTTTAAGCCACTTCTTTCATCGGTGAAAAAGTATAATATTAAAAGGTACATGGCAGTTCTTCGTTCATTTTATTGATTGATAAATTTGATCTGTAAAACTGGAATTAAAATAGCATTGCCTTGTTTTCGTTTAAGATGCGCTCAATTAGTGCAGAGTTACGTATATCGGTTGTGATAAGCTTGTATCGGGATGACTCGATTACTTCCTCATTCACATAAAAAGCATCCGAATTCAGGATCAGCTTATCAATGTTAACAATATTAGTTTGTGGCCAGACTCCAAAGATATAATTCACAAAATTGGAACCAATAAAACCGCAACCTCCAGTGACTAGCACGTTTCGAGGTATATAAGCAGACATCAACAGTTCCTGCAACTGAATGTTATGTAATATACCAAATACGTAAAACGCTTCCATAAAAATGCATAGGATTATTATACGTCTCATTTATTTGGAGTATTTTCTAAACTGGTAAGCAGACCAGAAATATTTGGTATAAAATAACTGGAACAATTAAGCAATTCCCATTAAGTACAATCAAAAAAAAAGGAAAAGTTTTATGGTTTGTATCGGAACGATTCATGCTGTTATTAAGGTAACAATGACTTGTCAAACAGCTTCTCTGTGCAGCGAAAGTCGATCACAAAGGTTTTTTGATTTCAGCGCTGGAAGATATCTTTTACAGATAAAACGAGATGAAAATAATGAGGAGCAGCTGTAATTACCAAGTAAACTGCGAGACATTAAAAAAATACATTAGAATAATAAATTATTGTCAATTAAAAACCTTTAAATTAAATACACAAAAAGAGTAGAACTTCCCAATTAGTACACAATGACACTTTAACCTTAGCCATTTTTCTATGACTGCTCTTCGCAACCAATTCTTCCTCCGTTACACTATTAGCCTTGCAATTGTACGATAATAAATTCTAATTATTTTTACCGGAATATTTCCAACATTTAAGTATAGATTGTTTACAAAATATTAACCATGGAATATTTTAATTTCCATCCATCTAATTAAAACTATGTATTATTTTAAGGCCCTTATTAAATCCAGAAACCCTTACTACACAAATTAAATATATGAAATGCTCAAATATACTACTATAAATTATGCTATTTGAAAACCACTATTCATTCGACTATTTTTAGCATCAAAACTCAACGTGGAGTAATGATAAATCTATTACACTTATAAAAAAAATTATGTCAGGAAAAATAACAAGAAAAGTGAGATAACAGACAAGACTTCTTAAAGAAAAACTTTTTGAAAAGAAATGAAATAAGAAATACGAAGGATGTCACAGCCGTAAAGTTTTTTTTTTCTGAACAAATACTATGCATTTCACCATCATAAAATTTATATTTCCTACATCAAAATCCTATGTCAAAATTTAACTTTTTAAAAGAATTCCATGAAAAAATTTAGAAAAAAGTATCGTACATGTATAGAACATGAATAAAAACAGAAATTTGAGTCATTCGAGGTAAGGACAAGGCACTAATTACTCGAAATGCATCTATCAACGGGCCGCACTGAACAGACAGGAAAGGTAGCGAAATGGTTGTCATCGACCTATTTTTCCATTATAAGCAGAAGCATTCATCTTTCATATTAGAGAAGAGAATTTAGACAATAACATACACCGATAGAAGACAACAATTTAATAATTCTGTCACAAATTTGATGAGACAAATGAAATGAAAAAATTTGAACAAAATATTATTGCATTGCATATATTGTCGGAAAAAACGAGATAATTTTATAAGATAATTTCGTGTCTAAACAATAAAGTATTTGCGTTTAAAGTTTGAATGACGAAGTTACTGGATGCCAAACTCTTAGTGGAGAGAGAAAACAAACAGAACTTAAACCTAAACGAGCTTCACATGATACTAATGGAGAAACGTCAACTAAAGTTACACCGGAGCAATCAAATCAAAATAAAACGAAGCTAACTAAAATATGAGTACTTTTACTAATTAGATACGAAATTATTTTATAAAATTGTCCCGATTTTCTGATATATTCCGAATATTTTATGAAAGGAGAATTTTATGAACATTTCAACTATCGTAGCATCGAAATCAAAAAATATTATGACTATGACTGCAGTAGTTAAAAAGTATAAGTCAAGCCATACACATGAAACAAACCTAAACAATTTAATTGCAAAATACATGCAAAGATTCAATGTATAAAAAACCAACTGATCTTAACTTTCCGGTTTAAGTTATTGCTCCGCTGATCCTTTTAAAATTAAATTCCCAGAAATTATTCACCAAACTTTCCATCCCATTACCGTTGAATAAATTCTTTGTGAGCTTCAATAATTGAATAATTTCTAGAAATAATAACTTATAGTTAGGAAACAAAATACTGTTAAGTAATCCACTCATTCCATTCGCAATCATAAAGTTCCAGCTTCTGAACCTCCAATTTTGGGGATGAAATTCAAACCAAGTTTTGCCAGTGTCATATTTTTGCGTAATGCTATAATATCCCAGTATGAATCGTGCACGCCACATTTGACAATTCCTTGATTTACATAACGAATGTAAGTAAAAAAATCACAGACTGCAGCTATCTGAAAATAAATAAATAAATAAAATAAAATTCTAAAGCATGATTGCAAGAAATTCTTTTTTAACACTCTCTACGAATCTGTTTCCTAACTATAGTTAAAAAATGCCAAGAATCAGAACAGGAGAATCAAAAGTTTCAAAATGAAATTCATCGGCTGCAGTTACGACTTTCAACATGTTTGAAAGAAAAATCAGTTCACAAGTTCGCCTACGCAGACTGTGTCTTATCGATTGTCCAACCAAGACGACAGTTCGGATGCTTTGTCTCAAATTTAAATATTTGGCCAATTTTGGTTAAGACGCAACTATGATAATGTACTATGCACCAAATGAGAAAATATTCATTATTGGAAGAATTGATATATTTAAGAATATTCAATAATGGATGGGAGAAGATGTTGATGACATCTTAACCTTTTTGATATAAAGTTAATTAAATATTATCTCATGTAGGATTACATGAAGTGTGGAATATTTGTAAAGTCATAATGTCATAACAACAAGCGTTTTTATAAAACACGACACGAAACATTCTGTGATAAGCAATTTGTTTCTAATCGAATAATGAATTAACAAACACGATTCCGTGCCAACAATGAAATATAGAACCATTCGGTGTCACCACTAACTCTCATTTTGTAGGGACAGAAACGCGGAACCATAGATAATGCACAAGTCCTGAAATGTAATCATTGAAATAATATACATCGATGAAAGACGTCGAGACTTGTCAAAATTTGAAAGTTAATAACATTTACATAACATGTATGACAAGTTGCATTTTCCTTTTGCAGAATTTAGATTTAAACAAGCAACTATATGATAAACTTGCTGTATAGAAGTGTTATAAAATGAAAGCAAAAGAAAAAGATGAAAAACGTTTAAAATTACTACTGCATGCAAAATAAATGACTTACCTAACAGTGGGTTTTGTTTCGGAAACGGCCTCCAATTCCAAAGTATTTGCCTTAATTGCATCGAGAACTTGCTCGGTTAGCTGAGATTTTATAGAATAATTACAAATCCATATTACATCCATATTTTCCTTACTAAATAATCAAAAAACAGAAAAAAGAAAAATCTCATAGAACGAGCAAATATTTTTATTAGAAGTATGGCAGTAGCTACACACTCTATTTGGTAAATGAAATACTATCCAATACTATCCATTTCTATCCATTTTTATACTATCCATTTCAAAACTTTTGAGAAAAAATCTGGATATCTCAAACAAAATATCTAAGATTATTTAATTTAAATTAGAAAGCAAAATAACAATTTACCTTAGTGCTGCTAAAATTTAGACATGGGCAAATATCTTCTGCAATGATGCGTGATAAGAAAGCTGAATTGTCATCCATTGAAGCACCTCGTTCTCTCCATTGTGTGAATTCTCTGTGATAAATAGGATCGATCTGAATGCCAAGAAATTAATCTGAATAACAACCATACCTTAAACATAATTGAAAGCAATATGCATGGCTAACAATTTCTTATCATAAGTTTTCCTCGTTGTAATAATGTAATAGTAATAATAATCTTTTTAATTAAGAGAGTTAAAAAACGACTGCACTAGAAGTTATAAAAACTATAACGCAAATGATTTGTACTTCAAATATTGGTTCACGTTCTTCACTTTGTGCTAATGATGTCGAATCTCGTCCCGAAGATGGTAAAGTGTAACTTTTACGACTATTTGCAGAACTATGTCGTTCCTTCCGTCCTATAAAGAAAGAAAGCTTTTTTATCTTAACAATTCAATCACATTCAATTGTTACACTTAAAGTTAATGCAATTTTTGACTTATTCATAAAAATTTTCCAAAATATAAAGGCACAATTTTGTAACACTATAAAGTTTCTAGTTCTTGGCTGAGTGAAATTTCTTGATAGTAAAAAATGAAAGGGGAAAAAGTGAAAAGTGAACGAAAGTCAAACGAAATACAAAAAAAATAGAGAGAACTTCTAGATGAAGCTTTATGTTTTATTGATTTTTGCAAGGGTATAAAAAGCAGTTTTCATGCTACAAAGCTGCTATGCGTCTAAACCAACGAAAAAAGAAACAAGCAAACAGACATTCAGTAAATGCATAAGAAACGTGCACATCTACGTGTGCTGTTAACACACGTACACTTACGTGTGCTACCAAGAAAACGTGATGCTAAGCCGGTTCGCTGGGGTGTTACGGCAGTCAAATGCGTTACTTGCGATGTGGAGGATAGTGGTGATTTCACGATAATTTTTAATGCTTCAACTTCAGCCACTAACATATCAACCTGGAAAATTATAATCAATATGTTCATGAAATTCAAATAATTTGTATTGAAGATAATTTAGCATATGAAAAATTGCGCGAAATTTTCCACAGACTAAGGAAATCGCAAGGCGAAAGAAATGTCATATTTGTTTGGAAGTATTATCAAAAAAAAAAACACAATGCACATTTAGCATACTTTTAAGTGACTTTCAGCAAGCAGCTTTTCAGCCTTCACTCGACGACTTTCAGCATCATTGACCATTCGATAGGCTTCCTGAAGAGTTGATAGATCTCTCATATATGTGAATAGAGCAGGAGGTTTTCCATATGTGTGTCATTTATACCACTAACAGATGTTTTGTCTCGAGAATTCAAAATTTCACTTTTTAGACTGGAACTATAGTCAGAGAGTTAGTGTCTCATCCAATGACAATAACTAACTTTCTCCACTGAGAGGAATTTTTCCGTTCTACTTAAACTTTGACACTGAGAATAGCGGGAATCATTAACCCGAAACAGATGGATGGCATTGTAAATAACATACACATACAACATTGATACAATAACAGTAATTCTTTCATTTCGTATCTTCCATTCATCTTGACCCTAATCCAATTGTATGCCAGAGCTTTATAGACTTTTAAATTTTTGATAACAATAAATGGTGAGTGAATGAGTTTTAATTGGTGAAATATACTAGCAATGTTCACTACAGTAACTGCTAAGTAAAAATTTTAAGTAACAACATGAACTCTTCATGTTATATAAAAAGCAACAATAGTTATTGGAAAAATAAAACTTTTTTTTATTCAAAAATTCTAAAGTAAATCATCTTCAAATAGCAATATTTCAAAGCATAGCATAAAAACAAGACAGAAAAAACAACCACCTGGAAGAGTTTCTCGGTCAGTTCCTGTACTTCAGAATCTACGTGATTCTGAATCTCACTCAGTCGTGTACATTTCGCTTCCTTTTCAGCAATCGAATGTCTGGCAGCATTCAATTCCTGCTCAAGACGGATGATTCTATCAGCACCCTGCTCATAGTTTCTTATCAATCCATCACTTGTTGATGATGATATACTTTCGCTATAAAATTATTGCTCAGTTTTCAGAACCATTAGAATTAATTGTGATTGGGAATAAGGCTTGTTAAAAAGTGTTGAAAACTAGAAAATTAGGAATAAGCAGAAATGATCAGGAAAATAGCTATTTTCTGATCAGGAAAATCGATGCAATTTAAATCCTACAAATTAAGCTCCTTTTTTTACAAACTAAGGTGAAACAAAAAGATTACCGTGAAGAGATATTAGCCGATTCGGATGGAATTAGATGAATGCATGAGCTAAATGCATCGACACTTTCCGACGGTTGCATCACGCTGATTCCACCGGGATAAATGAGTGGGACTGGCCAGGATGGAGAAATTAATGAATTTCTCAGATTACAATTTTTCTTTCATCAAATTCAAATCCTTCAAACTGAGATATAGAGAATTTTAACTGACAGCTGTACAACAGCGCAGAGGTTAAAATAAGTGGTTAAAAAATTTGCTTGACTTTCAGTCACCTCATCGATCTTCAATTCCTTCAGTTTATCTGTTTGGATAGTGCAATAGCATGCAAAGTTTAGGTTGATGGAAAGTTTGAAAAAGATTCCTTGATTTCATGGAACAAAATAAAACTGATAATTTCAGTTGAAAGATGAAAATGATCAAAAGAGCAATCCTTCAAGAAAGAAAAATGAAATTCATGTGAAGCGAGGGCCTTATTGGATGCTTCGATTTTTTTTTTTTGAAAACGAATCCAAATGAATAAGCCAAGCATCATTGTATTATTTTAGTAATAAATATTATCTTAGTTATAAGTAAAGAAGCAATTATTATGGTCAGAATAACTATAACAATTGAATATAAGCTAAATTACATCAAGGTCACGCACTCACTGACCTTTTCGTATAAGCATAGTTTTTCTTTTAATTCTTTCAACCGGCAGATCATCCTCAAAAAAAAGTTCTAAATGGTCGAGTCAAAAATAAATGTTCCAAAGATGTTTCATCTACCCATTTTGGAAATAAAATATGTGCATACATATGCAGGAGCGCATAAGCTTTGAACTTTAGACGTGTATTTCGTTGTACATATCAATTAATATTTAAAAAGCATATGAGAGTTTAAATTTACGCTTTATTTTATGATAAAGCATCTAAGATCTAATTTATAGATTTTGAGGAACAATAAAGAAGATGAGTGATTTAAAAATAATTCACAGTAGGAGTTTTGATTTTACTAATTGAATGCGTTATTTGTGAGACCTAACTGACGGTGAAAAAATAAATTTTAAATTCTGGAAAAAGGCATGAATATTAATTCAGGAATGTTTAAATTTCGCGGAAAAAACTCTGAAAATTTTGCATAAAATTTTTACAAAAAGTAATAAATCTTTTTCAAAGCTTTTTTGTTATAAGAATGTCATCTTATAATTTTGTTACTTGTCAAAGAGCATCAAATAGCAACGAAAAGTTATGGCTTCTCCAAGGCCCTTTACTAATAGAATTCCAAATAATATGGGCAAAAATACAAAAGGATCGGCACTGAAAGGGCAAACAAGAATTACTAATACTGTGACCTTCATTTCGTAAAAGAAAAAAAAACAATGCTATTCAACTTAAGCTATCCTTTACTGTTACAGTATCTGAAATAAATCCTTTGAAGTTAATTCATTTCAAATGAATTGAATTAATGACTGAATAGTATTTTCGACTATATAAGAAAGACATGCAATTAATAAATAATGTCCTCAAAAAAGCCTGAGGAAATAATGAAGAAAGAAAAAAAATTTCATAGAAAGCAATAAACATGAGAATCTTTAAATGATGAAAATCGCACGCCTTTCATCTCTATTACTACACTAATTCCAATAAAAACATCAAAATGTACTACTAGTATGTCATTTAGGAAAAATCGGTTACTAAATGCCTCAAGCAAAAACAAATAATAAACGAGGAAAGAGATAGTGGAAATATAGGTATAAATGATCAGACATTTAACCAGTGCTACGATCATACCGTAATTTAATCATTGAAAAACAATTTCACACTTGAATGATAATTTGAAAGGTACAATAATAATAGCCTGAACAACAATAATATCTAAGCTGTCATAAATAAAATTAAGAAAACAACAACAATAAATCTGCAAATAATAGATCAAATGATTGAGGACTATTCGACGAATATATTTAAAATGTTCGAAATTTTTGAAGTTTTAAAAAATTTTAAATTACAGGTTCAACCAATCAATTATTCGAGAAGCTACTCTTTTAGCATATGATGGGTAGAAATATATGGGAATAAATTCCGCGTAATAAATTAAGATCATAAAAGTGCTCTGACAGAAAAGGGACATCTGTTCGAACTACATCACAATATATTTTAAAGATAGCTATAAAAAATTTGAAGCTATTCGTTACTCCCTCTCCACATATTATTCCTTATTGCTTTCTCAAAGAAAATGATAAAATCTTATGAATAGTTAGGATTACTCAAAAACAGAACAAATTTCGAAGTTCGGTTTGTAATATATTGCAGAAGAGGCGTTGCTAAAGAAGGCTTCATAACCTACACGGAAGGTTATGATAAGATAAGAAGAATATCAATAGAAGGAAACTGGCCTTGAGCAATCTTTTCAAATATATTTCACAAAATCTTTTAGAAATAAAAGATTTCTGTCAGGAATGTCTGAACATTAATATTAAAAATAAAATCAAAGAAAAAAAATTATGAATTTATAAAATGAAAAATTATTAAACAAAAAAACTATGACAGTCGTGAAGAATGAAATAGAATGCTTCAAGAAATATGAAAGAAAAAACAATTAACGTATTGGAGGTAAAAAAACGATAAGTCAAAAAAAAAACTAATCAAATTTCAATGTAAGTAACTAAAGTAAAACAAACTGATCGTATCTGGTAAAATCTTTCAAATGTATGCATTAGTACTGCAAAAAAATATTATACTAATGATAATTAATTGTTAAGATACAAAGTTGAGAAGATCGGTTTATACTTCACTTTAGTTATTAGCATCGTACGGAAATACAATCAGTTCAATAATTTCATCTTGCAGCTCATATTAATGATAGTGTTCATATATTCAAATTAAATTTCGATAATAGTATTTTCTGAAGTGTCATCAAGTCCCAACTAAGCATCTTGAGATCATCACATTATGGAAGTAATGGTATATCATATGATACCTCTAGTATTAGTACTAAAACAGTTATACACATTAGCAGATATGCAAAGTAAACTGCTCCATACTTACTTCCTCAACTGTATTTGTCATACAATTACTCTCATTCAGGATAAAATATAAATTATATGGAGAAAATCTGGAGAAAATTCAAGTAATAATGGAGTAAAAAATTATACTATAATTATTAATATGTAAATATATATCGTAGTTTTTCTCGTTTATTTTTTACAGATTTAAAAAAATTTTCACAGTTTTATACCCTTCAAAAAATCGGAAATCCAAATGATTTTAAGCAAATTTCCTATAATGTTCAAAACTACATAAGAAGTTTCTGATAATGGAAAATCCATTTTTATTACGTAAATGCTAAAATTAGTTAGCGTTGAAATTCTTCTTGTTGCTCTCGCAATCTTTGGCAATGAAATAACTTGGAACTGCTACGAAGATTATCAGGAATGTGTTCCGGAAAGCAACAAAACCGATTATGTCAACATAGACAATGTTGAATCACATAATCTCATAGAATTTTGTTTTAGTCATACGCAAAATATTCTTCCATGTTTGGCTGCAAAAGTAATTAATGGATTATATAAACTCTTTCAATATGAAATTTTTTAGTACTTAAAATTTTTTTTCAAAGCACTTATGTTAATAGTGCTTTGCTGGAAGAGTAAAAAAAACAATCCTCATTAAATCAATTAAAAATTTTTCTCAAATTTTTTATGATGAAATTATAATTAAGTAGTAAAAATGAATAAAAGTTAATTTTTCTTGTAAAACCTAAACTTTTCAGTTAGGTTTAACAAAAGATATGTCAGTATCGACGTTCTCAGTTCTTCTTGCTATTTGCAATGCAGAAACTCAAAACAACAAATCAGTTACTATCGTAATTTTTTTTCTTGAAAAAATAATTAAATTTTAACCAACATGAATTAATTATGATGTTAAATATATCTGTCATACGAGAACTATGCGTTACACATTTAAATCTGATGTGTATTGTATTTCCGATAATTTGCGAAAAAATGCATGAAACAGTGAAAATATGCACTTCCACTCGAAAAAATAAGAAAACGGATAATCGAAAATTCCATTTTCATTTATTAATATTTTCAGGAAGCGCAACAAACTTTGAAATATTTGGCACGATTGTATGCATATTTTTGTGCTTATTCAAATATTTTGGATTTACACCGTAATACAGAATGTTTTCGGTATTTGCTAATTTCATTTTTCTTTCCAAAATTCAAGAAATCATTAATTCAGTTCTGCACTTTATGTTTGATTATTCTCATTTGCTCAATATCTATAAAACAATGACATAAATATTTGATAATTTTACAGAAATTTGATGAAGTATTGTGTTTTGAATACACCAAATGATAGCTGTATGTTCTATCATTGTGCGAAAGTATCACTTAATTTATTAAAACCTCATCAAACAGTTCTGCCCACTCAACAACATCGAACAACAGCGGCAATCGATCACTACAATCAACTATCAATAAATCGTCAAGATCGAATTACACCTATTGTTACTACAATAATAATAATAGTAATAATAACAATAATAGCTTTTATAGGTGCAATACGATGATATGTAATTTTCAAAAGATATATAACAAAAAATTAAATTTCAGAGGATAATAACGAGGAAATGTAAGTATTTGAAAAGCAAAAAAGAAAACAAATATGCATGAAAAAATTTGTTCGAAAAATTTTTTAATTTTATTTTTTTTTGAGAGAAAGCTAATTTCGTAAGTTGAAAGAATAAATTAAAATTAGCTATTGTTGCTCAATAAGAAATAAGGAGATATATAAGGGAGAAAGAAGAAGATAAATATAGAAGGAAGAGAAAGAGAGAAGCTGAAATGTATTCAAATTAAAAAAAAATTGAAGATGTCATCTTTAACTAAGCAAACAGCTATTAGTTTAAAGTTCGTCATTTCTCATTATGTATTCACTGTTTTTTTCATCTTTTTTGCGTAAATATATAACAATAAAAATTTGATGAAAAATTCCTGTAAATCTTACAAATTAAGATGGAGAAAAATGCGAAACTCTGAAACTACAGGTAAGTAAAACAAAATACTGTACTTTTAAGAACTAATTTGTTATGATAAGAAATTAATTTTTAACTTCTTTTTGCTTTTAAAGAAAAACTTATAATAGCGAATTAATTAAATTTCTATAGTAATTTGAAATGATCGTATGTTGATTTTTGGTTGAGTTCAATAAATAAAAATTGCTCACATCGCATAAAAGTGCTTTCTTTTAATTTTCTTTTTCCAAATAATATCTCAAAACATATTACGGAAATTTGATTTCTCAAACAACATCTCTCAAAAGGAGGTCAGAGAAATCGATAAAAATGCAATGAAATGCTTATGATACGTAATGCTATAGGTCATCATCATCCATTACGAATAGAAGCTACCAGACTATCAGACAAATGAATCGATAGTTTGCTGATAATTTCTTGACTATTTGAAAATAATTTTTATAAGAAATTTAGTGTCTGGAAAGATGATATTCTATAATTATCATGCATGCAATTTGTAACAAAATTTCAGCTATTCTGAATTAAACTTTATGTTCAAAAATAATATCATAAATATATGAAGATTAAATTATATATATACAACAAACGTGGAAACTTGCCTATTGCTTATGGACTGTCAATTAAAATGCATTTAAATTACAAATCATGAAACCATCGTTTTTCATCACATTCATGAGGAGCATATTAAATCCATCGAATACACTTATTCTCATGAATACTTGTACAGTGATTGAGACTACTAAAAAATTTCGCAGCCATGAAAGATCTTCGCAAAAAAAAGAATTTCTCGAATCGATTAAAAAATAGTTTATTTCCAAATCCTAAAGTCGACATTCAATTGAGATGGTAAAAATTACATGCATTTTTTTCCAATGATAAAAACTAAATGAATGAATATTTCTTAAAAATGAAATGAACATCTTATGATACAAGCATAATTTTTCACTCTTGACTCATTCTCTCCGATTTTAAACGATCATAAATTAAGAAAATAATTCGCTGATATTTTTAACACTTTCGTTCATCTCAATCAAGATTACAAAGAAACTAACAATGTTCGTGCGCTCGATGTAATAAAAATTAGAAAACCAATTTATAAATTGAAGTAGCAGTAAAAGAACGATAATTTTTAGCTATGTTACTACCAAAAAGAACATCAAGAAGTTATTACTTGAAATACACTGCATTTTCTTTTTGAAATAATTGAAAATTTAATGAAGCAATAGTAAAAGCTGTCATAAAGATATGACACTTTCAAGTCTTCAACAAGTTATTAGGATTAAGTTCTTATCAAGCATAATTGTATGGTTCAAAATTAAAAAAAAAAAACAGGATACGACAATAATAACTTATTATTATTTTCTTTTTCAAAATAAATTTAATAAGCAGAAAAGAGTAAGAACAATAATCTTCCAATGACGCGATGGTGTGAAAGTACAATGCTGATTATAAAAATTTACTTTATTCAAAAATTGAGAGATTTCTCTGCTACTGCTCACTGAAGCAGAAATATTAGGCTTATTTTATAACTAGCCATATGCACTGAGAGAATGTTTTTGGTTCTATAAGCATAAGGAGAAGGAATGCATTCTCTTGTGATCAGTGTTGTCAGAAAGATAAAAAATCATTGAATATTCTCAGATGAAAATTTACAACAATATAAGGGGAAAAAGTAAAAAAGGATGAGTGATGAAGAAAAGTATAGTTGGAAGCTAAAAAGATAGCTAAAGAATTGAACATCTGCCAATAGCTCTAAAAAAAAAACAAAAAATTTACAATTGTCACTTCTAAAGCCTTTCAACAAGATATACGCTATATTATATTAAGGCTAAAAAGGACAAGCAATCTTGATTAATGCTTCTTTGGCTATTTGTACATATGGAAGCCTCTTTCTATCTATAACAGTTGTTGTTGTCTGAATTTCAAAAGAACAAATTAACTTATTGTTGATAGAGGGCGTCACAATGGATTGAAGCTAAAATACAATGAACAGAGAAATACATACACACATACATACATGCAACAAATATGTTACAAAATGAATTTTTTCGATGACCATCGAATCATCGAAAGAAATCGGTAAATTAAATAAGCCAACATAGAAGGATATTACCTGTCCGTGGGCACTGGCTAAATCTATAATGATGAAGAAGCATTTGTATGAGTGATCTGAGACCACGCAAAACTAATAAGCAGATGGTTCTGTCTTTGCCTAAGCAGAGTTGCTTTGTTTTGGCAAAGGCAAAGGAAATAGTTGAGATCAAAAATTGATTTTTCTAAAAATCTAAAAGAGACAAAAAAATAAGACAAAAGGGAATAAATGAATAGAGAGAGAAATAGCGGGAAGAGACGAAAGTCGACGATTGATCTTCAATTCTCGACATTTTGCAATCATTATGAAGACAGAGCAAAACGATTTGCGCTAAAAAATTTTAATTTTGATCAATCTTAAATTTTCAAATTAATCAATTAAGTAGGGTTAGTTGAACATTAATTAGTTAGTCAATTTAATATAAATGCTACAATCGCTCATAGACTACTTTCAAAATACATTTGGAAAAATTGTTGAACTGATCAGTGATGTGCGGCCCGTGAAGAAGCGGCCCAGAGAGTGAGTTAGCATAATAAATATCTTAGCAGTGATAACTAATTTCTCTCTCGACTATTACACTCCAAGCATTTGCTAATTCAAATTTAAAATTTTTCCAGGATTAAGTTTTAAATGAAGAAAATAATCCAATGCAGAAAGCAGAAAAAATTTAACTATAATTCTTAATTAGCTTATCAAAATTAAGAAAACTGCTCTCCAAATTAGTAAAATGAATATATGAATAAATTAAGAAACCGACTTTGTGGACTAGGATAATATTGCAAAAATACCTAATAATTATCGTATTTTTAATCACTATACCGAATCTTATCTTATATAAGGAAATATTTTATGAACATTTATATCCAAATTAATCTTTGAGAACATAAAATTAGTCAATCCTTCTTCTGCATAATAAATGGAAGAATACATAAGCAAGATACTAAATAAAAATTCACCATTAAAAACACTTTCAGTCTATAACACTGATCGTTTTTCTTTCTCTAAATCGTCCAGATCGATTGTTATCAGATATCAAACACTTTGTGAGGTTAATGTTATGACGCGTTATTATCACCGCTATATAATACTAATGCTAAAAATCCTTCCCATTTAGATCATTTTCTATTTTTTTCAACTATATCTTGATTATCTCTACTACGTTTATAATCTACAATTTTATACTTTTTTTTCCTCGCGACCTCACTTTTATAACGAATTCAAGGTTTATGAATTTTGCATGTGATAAACACAGCTGTTTAAAAATAAAAAAATAAATGTTGCCGAAAGCAATATGAGTGAAATCAAATTGATAAAGAGCAGTGTTAATTATCTTCGTATCAATGAAGAAATTTTTTGAAAGGTTTATAATCACTTCTATTGTAAAATATATAAAATCGGAAAATACGCTGAGACTTTTTCGAAAAACAAACATGCTAACCTTATTCTATGTAATAAAATTACTTAAAATTTCCTTGAAATGATGACCAAGCATTAGTTTAAAAAATTAATAGAAATACATTATTAAAATAATCAGCATTGGTTCCCAATAATTATTCACGAAGATGGACAACATTAACTCAAACAAGTTTCATTAACAAACATTTTATTTTTATCATAAATATTAAAATTCATCCAAGAATTCTTTGGAAAGAGACAGTAGATGATCAAAAATTTTTATGAAAATTCTCCCTAAATCAGTTCCGAAGAGAAAAAAAGAGTTTTAAATAAATTCGGAAATAATACCAAAAATTCCGTATTTTCAGCTACTTCTTAAAAACTGTAAATTTTAAGTTTTGAAATGAGTGGAAATATTTGACAAAACATTGAATTATACAATACAGTGTTCATCATTATCGGAAAATCAGAGACAGAGTAAATCTGAGAACAAAACAGAATTAAAAATACCGGTTTACCGGTTTACATTACCGTTAAATTATCATTTTCGAGATAATTCGAATATATAAAACACATGATTTCCATAAAAATCAGAATTTTCTTTTCCTGCAACAATCTTCAATGAAAGAACCTATATTTAGACACTTGACATGTGTGAACAAATATTTTATAGCTGTAATTAATATAATACAGTTACAAACTATCAAAATTCTCCAAAAAATTTCAGATTTGGAGATTTGGAAAGTATATTTAAGCAAGCCCAATTTTGTGATCCAAATATCTCTGATATTCATTAATTGTCCGCCATTGAGCATTTCCAAGTACTACCTGAGGTCGTTTCACTTTAATGAACTCAAAAGCTACGTTTGGATACCAACCATTCTTACGCATTAAATAACATGTAGCAAACATTGCGCTACGAGTTCGACCCGCTTTGCAGTGTACATATCTAAACAATATTTGATCTTTAAATGAGGAATTATTATAATCTTAATCATCTTAACCATATTTAAATACTTAAATGACATTAAATTCATAAAAAATCTAATAAGAAAATAAGAAAATTTCAATAGTTATCAAAACCGTTATTATTGAATAAAAATAAGAAAATCATTACTTACACTGATTTACCACGTTGGGCACTTTCATCAACAAATTTAAGAGCTTTATCAATTGACGTTCTGGATGCTGTACCCACAAAATCGACCATTGGTAATGAATAGAATTCTACACCACTTTTTTTCCAATCCTTTTCACCCATTGCTTTCCATGCAGCTTGCGTCTCATATTCTACATTATGACAAAAGTTTGCAACGTTAATCTATCCCCTTAGTTGTGAATGTAGTAGAACGTAATAAATTTCATTAGCTACCACAAACTTGCCTAATATCCATTACTAGAAATCCTAGAAAAAGAAATAATTTTAAATCATTGCATTACTACACTCAATAAATTAATACACTCAGCAAACTACAAAAAGGATATTTCTAGTAGAAAATTTAAAAAATCATATACCTTCGGTACAGCAAATAACGGCACCAATATTTTCCTTTTCAATAAGTTCCTTTACCATACTCCGGAATGGAAGTGCACCGAGTACTATGATATCATCGATACGATTATACCATGCCCATTTCACCGGCTGCAGATAATTACGAAGCAAATTAAAACCCAAAGTTGGATAAAATAGTAATCCTTCAAGCATATCTGCAATAAAACTACAAAACTCACTTATCACATTTACGGAACAACTAGCAATTAGAAAAGGATATAGAATCATTCCAGAGATTAGTTCATGTTCATCCATGTGTTGTAATTTTCGCATCCATATTTGATGCAAAAATTACAGTTATAGAAGATCTTGCAATATTTTACCGATTCACGACATACCTAATTAACCAAAAAGCATAAAAGTTGTGCAAATAACATGAAGCACATATTACATCATTACAATATAAATACCTGTTCGACTCTAAGAGTTTGAAACCAGTATCTGTCATTCCAAAAATATTTCTATTTCTATACGATTTCCTATATGATTTCAAGTGATCAGTTTGTTCTAAATTGCGGTCGTGGAAGTATACCTGCTCAAGCTTATTTCACGATAGAATAATTACTGATTTTCCATTCAGTTCAGTTGCAACAACAATGCAGTATTATTTAAATTGTTTTACAGTGTTTGAAAACCATTGTACTTAAAAAGTAATTGAATAAATCTTAATAAAATGTCCAACCGCTTCATGAGAAATCAAATGATTGAAAATGGTTAAAAGAAAATTTCTAGCAACAACATGATACTAAAAAGTTGCTGAACAAAGAAATTCAAGCATGGACATAACTTCTTAAAGATTTTTATTGGCATTAACAAAGAGCACAGAGACTTTATAAAATGATTGAAACTGAACAAACAATATGATTTAATATAATTAATGAAGATGCAGCTTTGAAAATGCATTTTTCAGAACAATGTTAATCTCACTAACAGTATTAATGCAAAACATTGATTTATGAGAACAAAAATATCGAAAGCTGTAAGTATACGAAAGCTAAAACAGTAACGAGATCAGTGAAGGATTTGGACGTCCCCATTATTAAATAACTAGAAAATCAAATGAAACAATTCTTATTAATGACATTTTAGTACAGTGGAATCTTATAAAATCAGAGAACAAAGCAAATCAAAATTTGTTTCCTTTCTACAAATCAGTTTAATCATTCCTGAATTAACTGAATCCTGAATTAAAGCCAGTCCTGAAAAAACAAAAAGAAAAAGAAAGCACAAGCTCATATTCTATTTTATTTACAAAATAAAGCTGTCTACAGGCCAAAAAGATTTGAACTCTTTCACTTGTTAAATATCTCAAAATTTCTGATTCTTCAAATCTTTCCTTGGCTTCGAAGATATCACAAATTCCAAGAAAAAAATAAATAGAGAAGATATAATTAATTGAATGCGTGATAAGTAAAATTCAAAGAGTAGGGAAATTTTTGAGGAAATATAAGTTTTTTAAAATTATTGTCAAAGTTTGGAATCTGGAATAAGATAAATAAATCTATTTTTTGAAATAGCAGACAATGTTTATGATAATTATACGGAACACTCCCACAAAAATCAAAAAATATCTAAAAATCAAAGATCATCGAACATGTTTGGTGGAGGATGCGCACCGGAAAAATTATAACTTCTATTACCGGTTAAATCGAATGATGAATACTCTTCTCTAATGTCAGCTGCCATGATTGGCTCGCGATCACTATATTCGCGAATGCCTGGAAACCGATAATCTGGTTGGGAAATACCAATTCCACTTTTAAGTGCTCCGTGATCTGGAATTTTGATTGGTATTCATTTGTCAGTGAAGCAGCTAAGAAAAAATCTAATACCAACATGACCGAATAGTTATTAAACACGACATTCATTACTACACGTGCAAAAAAATCAATTGCGACACACATAATAAGAAATAGCATAAAATCTGCAGTGACTTTATAAAATTTGAAAAACCAAAATCAATACCGATATCATTAATTAGCCATTGTTATGATGCTCCCAAATGGTATCAAATTTGCATTGCTACCAGCATTCAAGTTCATATTAATTCTATTAAAGACCACAAATTTCAATAATTTAATCAAACCAACACTATTAATAAAGTTATTTACTATCACCTGAAGCTGTGTTCATTGTCAACTTTTCCGCCCAATACTGATCTCTTTCTTCGCGATAAGCAGCACGCATTATCTTATTACGCTCTGCAAAAGATACGAGAATATATATGTGGGGTATACAGTCCTTTCTTTTTTGTTCATACCTGCACACAAGGACCCAGCAATCCACAGTTTTAGACTCTAACTGAATAGAATGCAAAAGAATACTAATCAAAAATTTTAGAAGCATGCAAAACCATATCTTCAATTCTTAGTAAAAAAAATTATATATTAGGATTTGGAAATTACAAATATATGAAAAGAATTACCCAATGAAACACGAGCTTTTCCACCGTTAACCAATTCCACAGTCATTTCATCATCGGTAACAAACTGATCGATACCAAGCAAGTGCAGTAGTCGAGTTCCTAATCTAGAATAACGAAGCAAATGTTTTGAATTAACCAAGAAAATATGAAAAATCAATAAAATATGATGGGATAACAAAATGACTAACCAAATAAAAAGTGAAGTGAAATTTATACTGAAAGCAAATAGACAAACTAACTTGAACCAAGTCCCCATGGCAAGTAAAACAATTAGTATGGGAAGATAGATATTGATTCCTTTTGCCAGAACTGGTATTAAATCTAAGTGACCCATCAACTGTAAACGATATTTTAAACGTTAGGAAACAGCACAAATGTCATTAAATAAAAATCAAATTATTGACATTATTTAAAATTTTTCAAAGAAAATTTTCATTTCAACTCATTGCAAAGTGCGAAGAAATGCTCGCATACGAAACAACATTCATATTGTAGTATATGCAAAAATCTCCTTGAAAACTCAAATATTTCCAAGGTACATACAAACAACAATATTTACACGAGAAAATAATTCAATAACCTATTGCCAAAAGAAAGTGTTTAGATTCAGATGAAAAACCGTCAGATTTTTACGAAAATAAAAAACTTACTTTTGTAAACTGTGTCTCGACTCCAAATGCCATATCTGAAGTAATATGTGAGTCAAGATGAATCATTCCCAACACGTTAAGACATATTGGCGGAGTTAAGCGGCATAGCAAGCTATAATTAATTTTACACTCTGCCAAAGATATAGTCAATTGGCAATATAAGCTATATTGATATAGATTAGCTTAGTATCCACTTTTGATGCGTTCTGTGTAAAATTCAAATAATATATTTCATATAGAAAAAGCCTTGATACATACATAGCGCTAAACAATAGGCTATTTTCATCGGTCATATGGTGAGGGTCCAGATGGTAATACCGATAGATTCGCAATTTAAACACTGTATAATATGCACAGATACAAAGATAAGATATGATTACAGTTGCATAGATCTGGAATTGATAAAAATAAGAAAAGCATTATTAATACAGTTAAAATCCCCTTCCATAAGCAGTGATAAGGTAAAAAGAAAGAATGAATGGAATGAATTTCGAAAATATAATTAAACTAAAAGTGAATCAGGAGACCTCATTTATTTTCTACTTTTTGCTTCATAAATCGGTATAAGCCATAGTTTAGAGATATTAAATTTATCATTCATAAAAGAATACCTGAATATGAAGATAATGATAACCGTGTGCCACATAATGAACAATAAGAGCTGCTAATGAAAGTCGTGGATGTACGATGAAAAAAGTGCATTCACTCCACATTACAAACCCAGTTATCACGTAAAAGAAAAGTCCGAGAATCTGGAAAGTGATTTTGGAGTTATCCTGCATTGACTAAACTGCAACCGCTCTCAGTGCATCAGTTAATCATTTATAAATACAACTGTTAAATCTCGATACCATTGAAATAAATCATTACCTTCAACAAAGTCCTCTTGTAAAATACATGCCACAAAAAGCAAACACGAGATGGGCAGTGGAAAAAATCTGTCTGACGTCCCTTAGTTCTGGAAATGAAAAAAACGAAAAGAGTTACGTCCGAAGAATTTTTATTATCAAAAAATAGTTAGCAAAAAAACTTTCTAAAGAAAGAATGTTTCTCCAAACAATATAATAGTTATTATTAAGTTTTCAATATCAAATATTAGAATTATTTTTCAGAAAACATTACATGCTCAAATACAATAATATGCTTAACGTCTAACCTGACAAACTGGCCTATCATTTCGGCCTGCTGAACATCTTCCAAATATAAGGCTCGAAGTATTAACGCATTCCATTGTGCCTGTCTTCTATGATGATTTTGTATGGCACTAATAACACGTTTATGCAACTGTATCTAAAAAATTCCGAATAAAAAAGTTAAAAAATAAACAAATTTCTTCTGTAATAATTAAGGGAAATTTTATGATAGTGAAAAAGAATAGAAGTTTGAAAAACAGATTTCTTCATCTGGTTCAAAATTTAAAAAAGCTAATAAAGAAGGAAATATTTATATCTGAATATTCTACATATTATATAAAAAGCATCTAATAAAATACTAGAAAATTTTCTTAGATGTTCTAAAACTTTCATATGTTTTTATCCTATGCAAAAATTAGAATAGGTACAGACATGTGAAGCCATTGTGGTCAAAATTTAAAAAAAAAATGGTACTAAAATCCGATTCTAGTTCACCTAAGATCAAAATGATCCAAGATTTCCTAAGCAAAGAAAAGTAGACAGATTGCCAATTATCAATTTTTAGGACCGCTCATTATTTTGCTAATATATTTTTGGAAAATACAAAAAGAAACAAAACTTGCCAAATACTTTTCGTTTGCAATGAAACCTTCACTGTTTGGTGCGATATCGGAGTCTGTTGAAAAACCGTCATTCGATCTCGAAGTAATTTGTGAGATCAATTCTGGTGGAAATTTTGCCACAATTGTCTGTGCATGTTTTCGTAATGTATGCTCATTACACAGCAGTGTCAAAACGCTTCGAGCTTCCCTAAGCACCGAAGTTTAATTTTAATCTTTTGCTAAGCAATATATCTGCTTTCAAAGTTAGATAAACAGATACTGAATCATTTCAAACGTAAATTCATTTCGTTCTCACTTTCTGATCTGCATTTTAAGTACGAATTTCAAATTCAAATAAGGAATAAACATCTTAATAAACCAATTTCTTGCCTTAAGAGACAATTGGAATTGCACAAGCTTTCAGAATAGAATCTAACATTAATCATACAAAAAAATCAGTCAGCCAACTACATATAATTATTATACCTCCGCACAAAGTCAAATCAAAATAGTTCCACAAACATAAATAAAAACTTCTAATAATAAATATTAGACGCACTTATACACCTCTCGAACGGTATCCTCGGCGTCGTTTTTGTCTGTCGATAGTTTATCTATATCAAAATACGTTTTATTTAGCCGATAATCTGAAATTTCAAATTTTTTGTGACAATAGACAGTGCATTATATGAAAAAACTTAGCCACTTTTTTCTATTCATGTCTACTTTTCTTAAGGTCATAAGTGCAAAATCCGATATTCCTAAAATTTCGATTAAACATATTTACAGTAAAATAATAATTCACACATAGGGGACCACGGATATGCAAGATTAAAATGGCTACACAACAAACCAAACATGATGAAAGATACCTCGACTTCCCATTTGCCAAAACTGTCGTGGAACTTCTATTAGGCCATAGCCTAGCAGAATCACCAATAAAAATAAACCCCAAGTATTAGAAGCAGAAATAAGAATTACTTTCAAATATTCCCTAAAAATGTCCCTCCTATAATTCTGCGATTAACATATAAATGAAAATATGGCAAATGACACAGCACTAAGTGTCATTAGATATATTTACAAAACCGAGAATAGCATAGCAACTGAAAAGATAATAAATATTTAAAAAGCAAATTTCAGCAAAATTAGCCGTCAAGAAATTTCGAATTATAAAAATGAAAACTAACGCATTTAACAACATTCCCTTTACAAAAGCATAAACTATTAACATGAAGAAAACAGTAAGATAAGTTGCGTAATATACAGCATTGTTGTATACAGCAGAGCGTAATTTACCAAGTGATGAAAAATCACCAGCATCTGAGTAACTCTGCATCAAAGGTAATACAATCCTGCAAAACTTTAAGTACATTAAAATAAGTTCAGTTATAACTGATGAGCTAATCTGACCAAAAGAATGATTAGATGATAGGAAATGAACTCAAGAAAAAGCCAGTAATAACTCCACCTGCCATGTGAACAACAGTGAGATGCTTGAAGTACTTGTTAGGTAAAACTTTATCTTGAAAAGAAGTTGGAAATACAGAAAATGCATTCACATTTCCAACACACAATTGCGTTCTTTTTCACTATCAAAAAATTTCAACACTAACCATGTGAGTAGTTGTGCTGTCCAATAAACAACACGCCATAATCGTAACAAAACTTGATTCGGCACAAAGCCAATCGGTTTTCTGCATACTGGGTCTGTGATATTATCAATGTTCAAATCTTTCTCAGCTGATAACTGTGCTTCTTCCAGTAGGCAACGATTATAAAATGTCTGAAAAACCAAGTGCTTTTTATTCACAATTGATGAGGAGCTAAAGCTCCGAAACACAGCATATATTAATAAATGAGATTCTAAAACTCAAGCGTACAAAGAAACAAGTGGTTAATATCTCTTAATGATTATACAGTAAAGTGTTTATAAAATTAAAGACCATCCTGTCTCTTCCTTTAGGGTCAGTTCAGGAAAAAAAAA